TTGATAGTTGTGAGTTTGTTGTCATTTTACTGTTCATAGTTTTGATCTTATTCTTCTCTTAGATAAGTCCCTTTAACATTTCCTATAATAAGGTCTTGGTGATGATGAATTCCTTTAACTTTACCATATCCAGGAAGCACTTTATCTACCTTTCCATTGTAAATGAAAGCTTTGGTGGGTAGAGCAATCTTGGATGTACATCATTGCCTTTCATGACTGAATACTTCTTTCCAGCTCCTACTTGCCTGTAAGGTTCCTTTTGAGAAAGCTGATAGTTTTATGGGAACTCCTTTGCAGGTAACTGTCTCCTTTTTTTCTTCCTGTTTTCAAGATTCTCTCTTTGTCTTTAATCTTGGGTAACTTAATGATGATATTCCTTGGTGTGTTCCTCTTTGGGTCCAACTTCTTTGGGACTCTCTGAGCTTCTTGGACTTGCATGTCTAATTCCTTTGCCAGAAAGGGGAAGTTTTTCTTCACTATTTTTTTTAAATAAGTTTTCAATATCTTGCTCCTCCTCTTCTTCTGGCACCCCTATGATTCAGGTGTTGTAATGTTTAAAGTTGTCCTGGAGTTTCCTAAGCCTCTCCTTGTTTTGTTTTGGGTTTTGTTTGTTTTTTTTTTTATTCTTGTTTCTTCATTCAGTCCCAGTGGAATATTTATTTCTTCATTTTGTTCCAAATTGTTGATTTGAATCCTGGTTTCCTTCCCTTCACTGTTGGCTCCCTCTATATTTTTCTTTATTTCACTTTGTAAAGCCTTCGCTTCTTCCTTTATTTGTGTCCATGCTCAGTCATTTCTGTGAGCATCCTGATAACCAGTGTTTCGAACTCTGCATCTGATAGGTTGGCTATGTCCTCATTGCTTAGTTGTTTTTCTGACTTTTTATCTGTTTTTTCATTGGGGCCACTTTTCTTTGTCTCCTTTGAGGATCAATAGGAGCTCACCTCTTAGAAAAGGTGGAGAAGAGTATTTCAGGCAAAGAAAACAACAGAGCAAAGAAATAGCAGGGCATTATTGGAAGAATCACAAATAATCAAGCAATGGAGAACCTCTGTTGTTATTCAAAACACTGCTACAATTTTATCTCCTCTCTGAAGTGTTTCCTGACAACCCCCAACTCTCCTTGACCATCATTCTCACAATCTGTGCTCTCACAAAGCACATATCTCTGTCAGTTCAACATTTAGTGAAGTAGAAATTGTGCTAAGTACTAAGCATACACAGATAATAAACATAATTCCTACCCTCAATATTATGGAAAAGAGAGGGAAAATTCTCATAATAAAAAGAAAGAAGTTCTTGATATTTAGCACGCAGAGTGCAATTAGTGGTTTGAGGACAATGTGGAGGCAAGCTCTATCCTACCTAGGTCAAGGCCTAACTCACCACATCATAGCTACTGTCTACCAGTCAGATTCCTCTATCACATGCTGATCCCAGAGGACTGATGTGTGTTATTAATATTTGTATTCCCAGTCTTCAGCCCAGAAACTAGTACAGAAAAGGAACCTGATACATATGGTCTGAATTCCATGTTTCCTAAAACTTTGCTCACTAAATTGGCACAGAACTGAGAAAATATTAGAATAAATGGCTTGTTAAATAAACAAATATTTGCAATCTATAAAAACAAAGGAACCTTAAAGGAATGTATTGGTGCCATATAAACAGTTCCTGGATAGTCCTTCGGCCACAGAGTATGCCCAGGCTCCTTAAAAAAAGTCCTTGATATCCTGGATAGAGAACCTTCAAAAGAAGGGATAAGATGTGTCCATTCACTCAACAAATACCCATTGAATACCTACTGTGTGCCAAGCACTGTGTATAGATGTTCACTATAAAAACAAACAAAAGACAAACAAAAAAATCTTGGTTTTAATGAAGCTTACTTTCTAGTGGAAGGAAAAAAGAATTTTTAAAAATCAAATATACAAATTATAAGGTATGCTAGAGAGTAAGTATTATGGGGAAAAACAAATTCAAAGGCAATTGAGTGTATAGAAGTAAGGGTGGGTGATGAGGAAAGAGTGGGCACAGAAGGCCTCTCTAAGAGGGAATATTTGTGTTAAAGACCTATGGAGACAAAAAAGTAAAACACATGGATACCTGGGAGAAGCACATTCCAAGTAGAGTGAATTGCAAGTGTACCATCACTGGCCATCTCAAAGAATACCCAAGTCAGCATAGTTTGAGCAAAGTGAACACAGGGAACAGTTAGAGGAAATTAGGAAGAAGAGAGAAAAATGACCAGAACATTTGGGTCAATACATGTCATGGTCAATGTTTTGTTTTGGTTTGGTTTTTGTCGTTGTTTTAACATTTTTTACTAAAATGTAATATACAGAGAGAAAATCCTAAGTGTCAGCTCAATGAAATACCATAAAATGAATAAATGGGTATATGCAGATGCCAGTCAAGAAGTATAACATTACCAGCACCCTGGAATTCCCCCTTTGTGCTCCCTTTCTTAACTTGCCATCCTTCCCTCCTTCTCAAAGGTAACCACTACCTTGACTTCTAATAACATAGATTTGTTTTTTCTATTTATTAACGAAATAAATGGAATCATACCATTATATTCTATTTGTATCTAGATTTTTTTTTTGCTCAAGATTTTGCCTGTGATGTTTACCCAAGTAGCTTCAAGATAAATAAGAGTGTGTTAAAGTGCTGATGGGAAAGATTTAGTAGATAGGTGGGAATGATGATAGCCATGTTCATGTGCCTAGCATTCACATGACAATTTAGGAAAAAGGAAGCATGAGCACACCCAGGAGCTGAGTGTCAGGATTCCAAGAACATTTCCTCCCTTACTCAGATCTTCTCCTGAGAATTAGGAGGTTTCAAGAAGACTGGGGTCATGGTTATAGTTATTTACTGATTGATTTACTCAAATAAATACTACTTTGAATCAGGCATAATGCTGAAATACAAAGATAATTAAAACATGATCTCCTAGACACACAAGTATACAGAGATGTACAAAAGGGTGTGATAAGTGCTAAGTATTTAACAAAGGTGTTAAGGAAGCATCTTCTTTAAGAATTATTGAAACTATTTTACCTTTCTTGTTCAAACATTATTTGGCTCTGAGATAGTCTCATGAGAATATGGCCATTATATATCCTTTTGAGATATTTATTACTTTTATGTTTCTCTCTTCTTCTAGATTATAATATTTTTTGAGTTTTTTTATTGCTGTTCAGTCACGGTTGTCCCACCTTTTTCTCCATTGCTTTCCCCTGCCCATCCACCCACACTCCACAGTCAATCCCCCCACCATTGTCCTTGCCCATGAGCCCTGTAATTGTGTTCCTTTGCTTGTCCCTTCCCCGTCTTTCCCCTTTACCCCATCCCCCGCTCTGATCACTGTCAGTTTGTTCTTTATTTCCAAGTCTCTGGTTCTATTTTGCTTCTCATTTGTTTGTTTTGTTGGTTAGGTTCCACTTATAGGTGGGATTGTATGGTATTTGACTTTCATAGCCTGGCTTATTTCACTTAGCATAATGCTCCCAGTTCCATCCATGCTGTTGCAAAGGGTAGGAGTTACTTCTTTCTTTCTGCTGTGTAGTATTCCATTGTGTAAATGTACCATAGTTTTTTTATCCACTCACTTACTGATGGGCACTTAGGCTGTTTTTAGCCCTGCAGTATTGTAAATAATGCTGCTATGAACATTGGGGTGCATGGGTTCTTCTGAATTGGTGTTTCAGGATTCTTAGGGTAAAATCCCAGCAGTAGGGTCACTGGATCAAAAGGTAGTTCCATCTTCAGTTTTTTTAGGAAATTCCACACTGTTTTCCAAAGCAGCTGCTCCAGTCTGCATTCCCACCAAAAGTATACTAGGGATTCCTTTTCTTCACAACCTTGTCAGCACTTGTTTGTTGATTTGTTTATGATGGCCATTCTGACCATGTGTCATGGTATCTCATTGTGGTTTTAATTTGCATCTCTCTAATGGCTAGTGATGTTAAGCATTTTTTCATATGTCTAAATGGGCTCTCTGTACATCCTCCTTGGAGAAGTATCTGTTCAGGGCCTTTTCCCATTTTTAATTGGATTGTTTGTCTTCTGGTGTGGAGTCTTGTGAGTTCTTTATATATTTTGGAGATCAAACCCTTCTTTGAAGTATCATTGATAAATAGGTTTTCCCATATGGTTGGCTCCCTTTCCATTTTGTTGATGTTTTCTTTAGCCATGTAGAAGCTTTTTAGTTTGATGTAGTCCCATTTGTTTATTTTTTATGCCCCTTGCCTTAGGGGATGTATCAGTGAAAACATTGCTGCTAGGCAATAATCTTTTTGAGAAAAGAATAAATATCTTTGGGTATCATGAAAAGAGCAAAAAGTATTTGGAGTCAAAGTAGTTGAGTTTGAATCCTGACTCATTCTTTAGCTATGTAACCCTGGGAAAATTACTAGTTAACTACTCTGCCTCAGGTCCTTTATTTATAAATGGAGATAACAACATCCATCCTTACTCACCTCACTGAAATTGGTATAAGCATTAAATGAAGTAATGTATAAAAAGAACTGTAAATTCTGATTATTAGTCCTCTAAATCTCACAACTCTATATTTGGACATACAGTATGTAATCAGTAAATATTGAGCTTTAATTATTATACATTATGAGCAAACACCTATGGACTTGGAGCCTGTGGCAGGAAGTTGATATAGTTCCCAGCCCCCCTCTACTTCATGCCCACAGAAAGAACTCAGAAGTTGGGGTCAGATAGCGTGTATGACCCAGGGTAACCAACCAGTGTGGGAGGATGAACTGGGTCAGTATCATCTCGGCCAACTGCCCGTTACCAAGACACTTTGTTGGGGTGGTGTCTTTCTGATAGTCCATTTCAACAGTTTTCCTAATGTTTTCCCTCTTCTTCTGATCTCTGGGCTTCAGTAGAGAGCTGTAACATACTGACAGAGCTACAGAGAAAGAGTGTAGGAGGATGGTGAGAAAGGGGAAGTTACAGCAGTTTCTCTTCTGTGTTTACAGGAAACGCAGTTACACAAACCACAGCAACCCCATTGCTGGTGGTGAATGGGGTGCTGGGAGAGTCAGTAACTCTCCCCCTAAAGTTTCCTGGAGGACAGGATACCAGTGTCATCTGGCATCATGATAAAATAACTATCGTCTTCATACAGCCAAAGGGAGCACAAATCCAGGTGATTGATCCGAAACGGAAAGATCGACTGCATGTTGCCCAGTTCTACTCCTTGCAGATCAACAACCTGACTATGGCAGACAGTGGATGTTATTACGCCCAAATAAGCACATCAAGCTCCACAGAGATTTCCAAATACAATCTGGGGATATTCAGTGAGTCAAAACTTTGGGTTTAATTGTGTATAGACTAAACAATATTACATATTTCAATTCTATGTGACTGCAAACATGCAATGTAGCCTACTGGTAAAGAATATGGCATTTGGAGCTAGACTGAGATCCAGTGGTAAAGCTAATCAATGACATCACACAACCAGTTAGTGATAGAGCTGAGAATAGAACCTAAGTCTTATGACTTTCAGTCCAGAATTACCTCACTCTTCCTCATAAAATGGTCTGGGATGGGAGTAAAAGACAGAAAACTGTACCTGAACAACAATAAAAAAAAGAAAAAAATGGTCCCTTTCAACTAGAAATGTAGAGGAAGTAATGAAATACCTATAATCTTGTTACCATGTGTATTACATGTATCTGTCCCATAATCCTCACAAAAGCTCCATGAGGTAAGTACTATCCTTACCCCTGAGACACAGCGTCAACCACAGCAACCCCCTACAGTCACAGAGATAGTAAGTGGGAGATCTTCCCATGTAACTAGCTGGTATGATAAGTCTCTTAACACAAAGGCTTTTCTGACCCAGTGGTCAATGTACAGAACAGCGGTCTACATAGAAAATGTTCTGTAAGGATGATCTGGAATAGAGAATGTCTATTCTACCAAGGTTGTTTAATTAACAAAACAATATTTTCCCCAGACAGCTTGTGTCCTCAATATAAAATTATGGAAACTATAATGACACAATTTATGAGTCAAGGTCAGAAAAACCTTCTAGCAATCAATGATACCATGAATGGCAGAAATGTTGAACAGGAGATTCAATCATTAAATTGGCAACTTTACAGGCCACTGAGATTGTGTAATTCTTATCTACTAGAGAACCCAGTGTCTAAAATTCACTGGGTCCTTTACATTAAGACATGCTATCTGAAAAAAATACTGTTCAAGTAAAATGTAACATGTTAACCTTTAGTACCCCCTGAATACTTGGTAGGATAACCATGCTAGATTAGTCAGTCATGTTCCTGAAAGAATAGGACACATGACAAGTAAATGTCATGGCAAAGAGAGGATGTCTAGGAAAGTTCAGAACAGGGATTCCAAGTTAAAGGGCAAAATTACCCTGGGGCAGTGTATTTCCTGAGATTGCCAAAACAAAATACTGCAAAGTTGGTAACTTAAAACAACAAAAATTTTATTTTTTTACAGATCTAAAAGCCAAAAGTCCAAAATTAAGGTATGGGAATGGTTATAGCTCCTCTGGAAACCAGAGAGGACAGAAGATCTGTTCTTTGCCTCTTCCAGCTTCTGGTTGCTGATGGCATTTCTTGGTTTTCCTTGGCCTATGGTTATATAACTCCAATCTCTGCCTCCAGGGTGACATTACTTCTTCCTCTTTCCTCTGTTTTCTCCTCTTCTGTCTATTGCAAATATCTCTCTGCTTTTCTCTTATTAGGACACTTACTGGATTTAGGGCCCACCCAGATAATCTAGAATCACCTTATCTAATTTAATTACATCTGCAAAGGCCTTTTTTCCAAACAAGATTCTGAGAAAGAATATCTTTGGGGATGTCCTCATTCAACCCACTATAGGCAGAATCACTCTGGGTAATCAGTGATCATCAAGGCAGTGCTAGGACCCTGGAGAGAAGAAACACATCCAGTGGAAAGTCTGAGAACATACCCTGCATCAGGTTTCATTACAGTTGTTGAGACAATGTTCTTCTGCTACCATTCAAAAAAGACTAGGCATCACTTCTGCAACAAGCACACTCTTGAGGCTCAATGTCCATCCCTCTTTAGAATCATTTAAAGTCTCTCTCCTTCAAAGGTACTTTAAATAAAGAGATAAGTAAGGCTACACCAATATGTTTTACAATAGTGCAAAAAAAGTTCAACATATAAGCTATATAAGTTTTTTAAAATATTGACCAGTTACTCCATGTGCCAGGCTATGAATGGCAAAGATTTTATCTTTATAGACCAAGACCAATTAGTTGGGAGTAACTACCTACAGTTCATTGTTAAGGAAGGTTGAAGCCATGCTACATGTATTCATTTGTTGACCGTAGACAATGTACAAGTAAATGTTTTAGGCACTTAAAATGTATCAGTGAGCAAAACAGACAAAGGTTACTGCCATCCTGGAGCTGACATTCTGGGTGGAGAATTGGAGGTAGTAATAAACAAGCATATAGTAAGGGTGTCTTTTGGTGTCTCTGGGCCACACTGGAAGAAGAGTCGTCTTGGACCACACATTAAATACACAAACAGAATGAAAACTGATGAGCAAAAAAAGGTTTAAGTAAATTTATAGTTTTGTGTAGGGCCATATTCATAGTCATCCAGGGCCATGTGCAGCCCGTGGGCTGCAGGTTAGACACCCTTAAATGACACAGTATGTAAGGAAGCCATGAGTGCTGTGGAGTAAAGAGATGAGAACAACATGAGAAGTCATCAGGAGTGCCAACAGGGAGCAGGGACCAATTTTAATTAGAGTGGTCATAATAAGCCTCATTGGGAAGATGACATTTAAGCCAAGACCTGTTGGAGGTAAGGGGGTATGCCATAAGAATCTATGGATGAAGAACATCAAGTAAACACACTCTCCTGTGCTGGCATGCTCAAGGAACATTAAGGAGCAGAGTAGGGAGAGAGTAATAGGAAATGAGGTTCTGTAAATAAATAAGGGGCTACATCATATAAGGCTCTGAATCTCAGTGAGATTGAGAACCATAGGAGGGTTTTACAGAGCATACAGTTTTACTTACTTGCTTAAAAGATCCCTTGCTACTCTGTTGTGAATAGTTTGTAAGGGACAAAGGTGGGAGCCACTGGATCAATCAGGAGGCTATTGCAACAATCCAAACAAGAGATGATGCTGGCTTGGACCCGGATGAGAGCAGGGGAGATGGTGAGAAGTTATTGGATTCTGGATATTCTTGGCTATTGGCCTGTGTGACTAGAAGAATGAACTCATTCTCAACTAAAGTGGGGAAGGCTGCAGATGGAGGTTTTGGAGAGAAAAACGGGAGGGAGTTCATTTGAACATGTTGAGTTTGAAATATACATTGCATCCCAGTGGAGATATCAAGTGGGCAGTTACATATTTATCAAGCGGAAAAAGGTAATAAGATAGCTTTTTGAGGTCAGCCATGAACATCGGCTGAGAGAGATGCGACATTCACACCAAATATTTGCCATTGCTGTGCTAGGCACTGTCTCACTTAATCATAATTACCTAAGAAGTAGCTATTATTGCCAGTTTTACAGAGGCTTGAAGCAATACACAATGTATTCATGGTCATGTAGCCAATAAATAACAAAGTAACAATTCTAACTTAGGTCATCCCAACTCCAAGTTCAACACTCATGCTGTTACATAAAAGCTCTATTCTGGCAAAATAGTTACACTAGCTCTACTCAGTTAACTAAACTTAAAGCATTATTCTGTCTCTTCTAATCAGACAGTTACAGTCATTCTATTCTTTACTGGGCCACCTTTACTTCAACCCTCAGGCCAAGTCTATGTCACTGACCTTCTCTATACTGCTCCCATATCCCCTTTGACCCATAGCTACTGACATCTCACTAGCCAATATTTCCTGGTCTCTGCTATCAAAAATTTCTGCAGTAAATGTTTTATCAAATGTCTAAATATATTACACTTCCTTGCTTCCCAGAATACCTTGCTTGCTCTCTCAGTTTCTTCACTTCTTTCTTCCCCAGTTTTCTGGTTCTCAACATGTCCCTTTCTTCTTGCTGACATTCCACATCAGGGTCTCTTTGTCACCACTGAAGCTGACATCAGAAACAATGAGGACCAGGATTCCTATAGACTTATGGAAAGTATAATTTCCCAAGGAAGTTAAGCTTCCGTCTTCCACCCCAGCTAGGGAATTCTGATTATGAAGGAAACAGGGCTCTTGTGCCTGATTCTGGTTCCTGATCTGGCTAAGGTAAGGCTGGCCCTCAGCTTAGTTTCCAAATTTCTTTTACAAAGGGACAGAAAATAAAGGCTAGAAAGGATCCCAGGAATAAACTGAAGTGCAGAAAAGTAATGTGACCAGCCCAAATGACCCAACTATTTAGCGGCAACCTCAGTCTTTTAATTCTCATTTCTCACACTGACTACTCTGTCTCATAATGATGTCTCTTATCATTTGCTCACCCCAAATGCTCATCACATCAATTAGGCAACATAAACAAAGTTATTTATAGAATATACAGATCACAACATACAGCAGAGTGTCAGATGGAATACAGAAACATTGAGGAGAAAGATACTTTTCACAGAGGGATGAGCCAAGCAATTTGTCCTTAATCCAACTCTTTTCTCTGCACACAGGACGACTGAGGAACTTACAAGTCACTAATCACACTGAACTCTCTGACAATGGGACCTGTGAGATCCACCTAATCTGCTCTGTGGAGAATCCAAATGACCATGTCTCATTCAGGTGGCAGATCACAGGAAACACACCTATAGAGGAAGCAAACCTCACTATCTCTTGGAACCCCAAGAATTCCAGTGAACAAACCTACACTTGCACAGCTATGAACCCTGTCAGCAATTTATCCTTTTCTCTCTCTGCCCAAAGTCTCTGCAAAGGTAACAGTCTATCTCAGGTATTTCTAAGAACCTTGAGTGGCTGTGGGGTATGGCATGACTACAAGACCTACATGATTTCCAAAACAGCAGCCCAGTAGGGAGCAGCCAAAGATGCTGGGAGAAGACAGACACCCTCTGGTGCTCTGTGCCTCTCACTAACCCCAGAGGCCTTACCTTCCTCCCCTACCACACTCCCAACCCTTCTCCAACACACTCAGAGCCCAAGAGCAAAGTCCTTGGGAAGGCAGAATTGTTTCCCTCTCTTGGCACTAACAGGCTCTACCCCACCCTGTCTCCTACTCCCAGAAATTCTGTCCGGAGCCTCAGAGCTTCTGGGTATAGATGAACCCACCCCTAAAGGTGGCCTGGCAGAGGTTAAGTGTAGGCTATGAGAAGAACACTGGGCCTCAATCTCTTTTTTTTTTTCAGAGACAACAGAAGTGGGGGAGAAAAAAAGGGAGATAAACAGTGTGAAACATTGATCAGTTGCCTCTCGAACACTCCCAGTCAGGGAGTTGGTCTACAACCCAGGCATGTGCCCTGACCAGGAATAAAACCAGCCACACTTTGCTTTGCAGGATGATACCCAACCCCCTTAATGTGTCTTAAGTGTAACTTCCTTTTTTCTTTCTTTTCAGGTGCTTTTAACAAGAAAAATCAACACCCAAATATCATATGGATTATAATAGTGCTTTCTTTTTTCTGTATTGCTATGTGGCCAATGTTTGTTTGGAGGAAAAGAATGACAGGTTTTCTTTCTTCCTACTTGTTTCTTCTCTAATGTTTCAGACAATTCGAGTCTGGGGTTACCTTTACCTGTCTCTTTTGGAAGACAGGTAAAGAGAGGGAGGATGTAAATACTGGTTCAGCTAGTCCACTGGGACAACATCTGGAGTATGACCACACACCTGCTAATTTCCTGATAAAGGTGTCCTACTAGGAAATATAGGACCCAGCCTCAGGGCCTGCCTGCCCTTCCCTTTCTGGTCCTCTTCCATCATATCTTCTGGAGAGACACCTATGGGGGTGGAGGCATGGAAGATCTCTCTCACTAGTCACAAGTTTCAACTTACCTGATTTTATTTTCCAGGTTTCTTACAGTTTTCTACTCATCAAACCCAGAATCATGGTGAGCTTCCAGACTCTTAAATCCCAATCATAAAACAGATGGGGAGAGCCAAATGAAAGAAGAAAGGGGCCAGTCAGAGGCCTGGATAATAGAGAGGATAGAGGCAGAATTTCATTACTCAGATGGACCAGATGGTGCCAGAGGAGAACCTGTAACTACAAGTTTGTCCCCTATGGAGCCTACAGGGTCCCTTGCACACATGTGAACAAGTCACTGACACAATTTCTTAATAGGATTAGAGTCATTCCCCATCCTGCTGATGGAAAAACTAAGTGTCAAAGAAAGTGATCATAGCCTGGCCATTATCACCCAAGAAGTCCAGGGCAAGAATAGGATTAGAGCATCAAAGCCCCAAAAACAAACTGCCTGACCACATCACTTTATTCATCCAGGGTTTGGGTATTGAATAAAAAGAATCAAAAGAGAAAATGTTATAGAGACACTGGAATGCAGACTCTGGACTCAGATTAGCACTGAGCCTCATTTCATGAATGAAGAGATATATGATGTCACGTGTAGAGAGCAGGGCATAAGGTTTGGAGTCAGAAGGCATACATTTAAGTTCCTTATTTCACCACTTCCTCTGTTATTTTGTACCAAGTTAACTGAATTTTCTAAGCTCACAACTCCTCATCTCTAATATAATCAAACCCACTTTAAGGACCTCTGAAAAGTTTAATAACACGTACATGAAGTAATCCAGCTTCACTATGCTGGCCAGTGAGGTTCTCTAGTTCTTATGTATGTGGTACCATTTGGTCCTAGGAGCTTCCTTGCTTACATGTGAATACAGTGGGAGACTCTAGAACTTTAGGCTACCACAAGACCATGCACCCCCAAGAGATGAGATAAGAAATACATCACATGACTGAGAAGTTCCTGGTTCCACCCAGAATTCCAAAGACTGTCAAAAATGAATGAACCATAAGGAAGGGCAATGCCTCAAACAACTACATTATTAGGGCCAGAAAGTCCCCTGGGGTAGACAAGGTCCTGGGAGAGCAGATCCAGAGTGCACTTACAACTGACACTGCCTCTCTGTTCACAGTAGAGATCCTAAGGAACTCAGACTATGGCCCAATCTCTCCAGGAAACACTGTGTATGCTCAGGTCACTCATCCAAACATGGTGAGTCCTTTCAACTTTATACTCCATCATTATCATTATTTTTAGTCATTATTCACAAATTTGTCACCACAATTACCTGATTAATCCAAATTATGTATACCATTGAGGAGAGGAGAAGGCAGTTGCAGGCATTGGAAAGTTCTATGAGGGACCTTTCCAGACCCCACTGCTCTTGCCCCAGTGGAATGTTCGCTCATGTCCTCACTGACATTGTTCTCTAACTGTTTAATGTTTCAGTAAGTAGTCCCTTCAGTTTAGTTACAAGCTGCCCAAGAGTGAAAATTAGGTCTTCCTCTATCTTCCCCTATGTCTTAGCATGATGCTCAGTAAATACTTACTGAGTAGATCTGAGTTCAATCAAGTTTGAGAGTTTGCAAAAGAGACAGTTCTGTAGTAAGGGCTTCTCACCTGGATGTGCAAAAAACAGGGGTACTCAGCAGCAGTCTCTTTAGAGGAGGACAGGAGCAAGAATTTGCAACTCCTACACAGTAGAGAACACTACAGGTATGACATGCCCTCAATTCTCCCCACACCTCTAGCAACATAGCCAGATGGCCTTGGTCAGGCATCAACAATTCCCTACCACCAGCAAGAGGCATATTTCTGAAGAACACTATACATCTTGAGAGGCCAGTTTCCATGTCAACTGAAAAACAGCCCAAAGAACTCATCATTCTCCAACTAATGGGAGCAATGGTCTAGCTAGAAATCTTGGATCACCTCATACAGCCTCTCACAGGTATTTGTAAAGCAGGCTCCTTGAAGAAGGAAACACAGAGGAATACTCTTACTTGTTCAGATATTTCTATGTCTTTTCAATTTCTTGGAGACAAGATAAATCACTCTCAACAAACCAAGAAACTAGTCTCCTGAAAATTTTACTTTTTCTTTAGTACAAAATTGTACTTTGGAGAGTTTCAGAAGTCTTGATAATACCATAATATTCCTTAATTAATTTTAAATGTCAAAATCTCTGAGCACAGGGGATTCCTGCTGTTATTGCTATACTTTGTATTCCAAGCACAGCCACTCTCAATACCACATGTTTCTGCAACTCTACCAGTTCCTTCTGTTTGAGGATAACCCAATGACTTGATGACCAAGCAGTTAGAATCACAGGGACAAAATGTAGCAGGTAATACCTCCAGTTACAGCCAGTAAAATCTGAGGCAAAAGACAGTAGAGTTGGGTTCAGGACAAAAACATTTTATTTTCTTTACAATATATGTAAAAAAGGTCATCACCCTTCTGCCTCTCTCTGGTTCTTGAGCCCAGTGGTTTGCTGGGGTGTGCTTCTGTTTGGAGCTCAGAAAATGCCACTAAATTTTCACATGTTTCAGTGGTGTTTGGTCTCCAGCTCCTCTTGCTAAACACTCCCTAGCATTCCTCTGGAAGAACTTTGTCATACTACCTTTCCCTGGGAATATGTCTGTGCATGAATATCTCTTTGCCTGTGTGAGCCAAATCAGTATGATTATTTATTACAGAAAACAGAAATCCCAATACCTATGAAAAACAATGATTCCTCCACAATTTACTCCACAATTTCTCAATCCCAACAGGTAAGCCTATGATTGCCCCCATGTTCTTACATTCTTACCTCTCTCATCAGACCTACAACTTTGTGAAAGAAGTAAAAGTTAAGGAGTCATTTTACAGATGCACAGATACCAGTAGGATACAGAAAGTCTCAGGACATCAGCAAAACACATACAAAAAGTTACCTTGTTTTAGGATCACCACACATATTTGAGATTTCAGCCTATTTGTTTTTTAATGTAATTCTGCCTTATTCTATCAATATCCCTACTTCCTTCTAGTCCTTTCCTTACCTCCTCTGTAGCCCTAGGTGGGTGGCCTAGAACTCTGGTCCCTATTAACCTACTTCACTTTCCTCTTTTTCCTAGTAAAATAAACCTATTTCTTCCAGGGCAACTGTCATCATCTAGGTTGCTGAAAGGTATCAAAGGATTTCAGGAGTGACACATCTTCTCCTGATCCCATGGGAGAGAAGAGAGCTTAGTTTCTGCCTGAAAATAGAATTTGAATATCTAGGACTATCACTTCCAGCTCTCCAGACTTAAACCTGCTTACCTGGCTCAAAAATTTAAGGAATAACATCATTTTCAGCCTGTGATCCAAATAACATTTTCCAGTCTGCTCCAGAACAAACCATGCTTCAGATAATACACCTGGAAACTAAGCAAATGGAATTATGGTTGACAAAGAGACTATAATTCAGAAGATAACCATTTCTCTCCTTTTAGAAAGCAGCAGAATTGTGACCCATTGGGAGAGAGTACAGCATGTTGGTTACATGTGCTGTCTCTAGAGTTCGATGGACTCCTGCTCAAATCATTTACCCTAGACATATCTCCTGGTACATGCTACTGAAGATCTTGGGCCTTTGGTCTCCCAGAGTGAAAAAGGATGGTAGTACATCAGCTGTTACCCAAACCAGGAACTTGAGTTATCTTTGGTTTTAGCTTTTCCTTCACTAGGCCCTTTGGAGTCTACCTCCAAATATACATCTTAAACCTATCCACGTCTTCGGAAATCTTCAACCACCATCCTATATCTAACCATCATCATCTCTACTCTGGAATGCTACAATAAACTCTGAACAACTCTCCCCAATTTTTGCTCTTACCTCCCTTTACTCCATTTTCCACAAGACAGCCAGAATCATATTTTTAATATGAATTGGATCTTTTACTTGTCTACTTAAAGCTCTGTGAGATTTTCCCATGCACTGGAATGAAACTGCACCTCCACAGCTCTGGCAGGTCTGGCCCATCTCCAGCCTCAGCTATCATCACTCTCCCACCTCTATCTCTATTTATCCTCACTGATCCTCCTTCAGTTCCTCTATTAGATGAAAGATTTATTTATGTTGAAGTTATTCACATCTGCCTTAAGGCCCTTCCTCTGCCTGCCTGGCTTCTTATTCTTTCAGGCTTAGCTCACATATGTCATCTTCTAAAAGAAACCTTCTCAGCCCTGACCAGTGTGACTCAGTTGGTTGGAGCATTGCCCCATAATTGAAGGATTTCAAGTTCTATTCCGGGCCAGGGCACATGCCTGGTTTGCAAGTTCATTCATTCCCCCATCCAGGCAGATGTGTAGGGGAAGCAGTCATACATGCTTCTCTCTCATATTGATGTTTCTCTCCCTTCCTCTCTAAAATGCAATGAAAAAATATCCTTAAATAAGGATGAAAATATAACAATAAATAAACAAGACCTTCTCAAACACTCTATCTGAAGTGCCCTCCCCAATATACTGTTATAACTTCCATGTCATTTATCACATGTCAATAAATATTTATTTATTTGTTTAATGTTTGTTCTTCCTCCTATACCACAAACCTTCCAGGAATGGGGATCATAATGATTTTATTTATTACTCTTCCCCTAGCATAGTATCTAGCACATAATAAGTGTTCAATAAATCTTTTTAATAAATAAATGAATACATAATAAAGTTTTGTGAGAATTAAATAAGACAATGTACCTGAAGCCTTTAGCATGGTGCTTAGCCCATAAAACAGCTCAATAAATGTCAGCTTTTGTTGTTATTATTGTTATTATTATTAAATTACATCCTTCTGAACTGACAGAATTTTCTCACAAACCTTCAAAGAAATAAAAGAGAAAGGATATATTGTCTGAGCCCTGCTTTCCTATCATTTCTTACCTTTTCTCAAATTCCATTATTTTATCGCATTTGAAAAATAATGTTCCTCTTCTCCTGGGAAGAGTTCTCTGATTTTTTGTGAGTTCAAGTATTTTTTAATGTTTAAAAAAACACTTTATTGAGGTATGATTGACATACCAAAAACTATACATAGTTAATGCATAAAACTTGATGAGTTTGTACATAAGTATACATTCGTGAAACCACGATTGTAATCAATACTGTAAACATATCTATCACCTCCAGAAGTTTCCTCTACCTTTTTTATTTTATTGATTTGTAATTTTTTGTGTATGATAAGAATATTTACCATAATACTTACCCTTTTATAAATTTTTAAGTATATAATGCAGTATTGTTGACCATAGGCACTATGCTGTACAACAGATTTCTGAGACTTATTCCTTTTGCATAACTGAGATTTTATACCCTTTAACCAACATCTTTTTTATTCTCCCTCCACTTGTCATTTGGTGACTACCAGTCATTCTCTGCTTCTATAAGTTTAACTATTTTAAATTCTTTACATAAGTAGGATCATATGGGTGTGTGTGTGTGTGTGTGTGTGTGTGTGTGTGTGTGTGTGTGTGTCTGGTTTATTTCACTTAGCACAATGTCCTCAATGTTCATCCATGAATTTTATTTCTTTTGGATATATATAGTCAGAAGTGCAATTGCTGGATCATATGGAAAAAATACCATATGATCTCACCTTTAACAGGAACCTAATCAACAAAAGAAAAAAGCAAGCAAAATATAACCAGAGACATTGAAATGAAGAACAATCTGACAGTAACCATTGGGGAGGTGGAAGGGGTTAATGGGGGAAAGGGTTTTCAGGAACAACTATAAAGGACACATGGACAAAACCAAGAAGGGGGTATGGAAGTAAGGGAGGGAGGTGGGTTTGGCTGGTGGGGGGAGTGGTTGGGGGATAAATGCAGACAATTGTAATTGAACAACAATAAAATGATTTTTTAAAAATTCTATTTTTAATTTTTTGAGGAAACTTCATATTGCTTTCCACAGCAGCTGTACCAGTTTACATTCCCATCAACAGTGTACAGGAGCTCCCTTTTCTCCAAATCCTCAACAACACTTGTTATCTTTAAAAAGATTTTATTTATTTGTTTTTAGAGAGAGGGGAAAGTAGGGAGAAAGATAGGGAGAGAAATATCAATGTGAAAGAGAAACATCAATCAGTTGCTTCCTGTATGTGCCCCAATCAGGGACAAACTTGCAACTGAGGTATGTGCCCTGAACAGGAATCAAATTGGCGATCTTTTTCTTTGCAGGACAACACCCAACCAACTGAGCCATACTAGTCAGGGATTTAAAAAACATTTAAATCTCACTCAAGCATATGTCTATTGATTTTAGAGAGAGGGAAGGGTCGGAGCGAGAAACATCAATGTGAAAGAGACACATCTATCAGTTGCCTCCCACACATGCCCCAACCTGGGATGGAACCTGAAACCTAGGTTTGTGCCCTGACTGGGGATCAAACCCGCACCTTTTTGGTGTACTGTATGATGCTTCAACCGGCAGGGAAAACAAACACTTGTTATTTTTCATTTTATTTTTTTGTAATAACTATTCTAACAGATGCAAGGTAACATCTCTTTGTGGTTTTGATTTGCATTACCCTAATGATTAATGATGTTGAACACTTTTGCATATTCTTGTTGGCCATTTACATACTTTCTTTGAATAAATGTCTATTCAGATTATTTGCCCATATTAAAGTTGGTTTATTTGGGTTTTGCAATTGAGTTTTGGGAATTTCTTATATATTTTGGATATTAATCCTTTATTCGATATATGGTTTGCAAATGTTTTCTCCCATTCCATAGATCATCTTTTCATTTTATTGTTTCCTATGCTGTGTAGAAGCTGTCTAGTTTGATGTAATCCCATCTGTCCCTTTTCTGCATTTGTTGCCTTTGCTTTTGGTGTCAAATCCAATAAGTCATGGCCAAAACCAATGTCAAGAAGATTTTCTCCTATGTTTTCCTCTAGAAATTTTACATTTTCAAGGGTTATCTTTGTCTTTAATCCATTTTGAATTGATTTTTGTGTATATTATCAAACAAGGGCCAAATTTCATTCTTCTCCATGTGGATATACAGTTTTCTCAGTACCACATATTAAAGACCCTATTCCTTCCCTATCTTATATTCTTGGCACCATTGTCAAAGATCTTTTTACCATATAGTCAAAGGTTTATTTCTGAGCTCTCCAATCCATTCCACTTGGTCTCTTTGTCTATTTTATGTCAAGACCATACCATTTTAATTACTGTAGCTTTTTATTAAGTTTTGGAATCAGGCATGTGATTCCTCCAACTTTGTTCCTTTTGAAGGTTGTTTTGACCATTAGGGTCCCTTGAGATCTGCATAAAGTTTAGAATAAGTTTTATTTAAAAGAGAATTCTTAGTATTGCAGATAAAATGTTCTTCTGCAGATAATTTTACTTCTTTCTTTCTGCTTTTGTTTTGTTTTGCTTTGCCTAATTACTCTGGCTAGGACTTCCAGTATTATGTTAAATAGAAGTAGCAAAAGCAGCCATCTTTGTCATTTTCCAGACTATAGAACAAAAGCTCTCAGTTTTTCACCACTGAATATGACATTCACTGTGTTTCATATGCGGCCTTTATTGTATTGAGATAAGTTCCTCTATGCTGAAATTGTTAAGGGTTTTTTTCATGAAAGGGTGTTAACTTTTGTCAAATGCTTTTTCTGCATCTATTAAGACAATCATGTAATTTTTATCCTTAATTTAGTTAATATGGTATATCACATTGTTGATTTGTGTATGCTGAATCATCCTTGCACTCTACGGATAAATCCCATTTAGTCATGGTGTATGAACCTTTTAATATGCTGTTGAGTTTGGTTTGCTAATATTTTACTGAGGATTTTTGCATTATAGTTTTCTTATGTCTTTATCTGGTTTTGGTATCAGAGTGATGATGGCCTCATAAGATGAGTTCAGAAATGCTCCAACCTCATATTTTTTGGAAGAGTTTAAAAAAGATTTGGTATTAATTTTTCTTTAAATATTTGGTAGAATGCACCTGTAAAGTCATCTGGTCCTGGGCTTTTCTTTTATTACTAATTCAGTATCCTTATTTGTTATTTATCTGTCAAACTTTCTCTTTCATCTTGATTTGTTCTTAGTAGGTGGTATGTTTCCAGAAACTTATCTAATTTTCCTAGGTTGTCCAATTTGTTGGCATATAATTTTTCATAATAGTCCCTTATGATTGTCTTTTAATTCTGTGGCATCATTATGATGTCTCCTCTTTAATATCTGAGCCTATTTTTAAGTATATTTTATTGATTATGCTATTACAGTTTTCCCATTTCCCCCCTTAACTACCCTCCACCCTGTACACCCTCTCCCGCCCACTTCCCCCCCCTTTAGTTCATGTCCATGTGTCATACTTATAAGTTCTTTAGCTTCTACATTTCCCATACTATGCTTACCCTCCCCTGTCTATTTTCTACCTACAATCTATGCTACTTATTTTCTGTACCTTTTCCCCCTCTCTCCTCCTCCCACTCCCCTATTTCTAACCCTCCATGTGATCTCCCTTTCTGTGGTTCTGTTCCTGTTCTAGTTGTTTGCTTAGTTTCTTTTGGTTTTGCTTTAGGTGTGGTTGTTAATAATTGTGAGTTTGCTGTCCTTTCACTATACATGTTTTTTTATCTTCTTTTCTTAGATAAGTCCCTTTAACATTTCATATAATAAGGGCTTGGTGAGGATGAACTCCTTTAACTTGACCTTATCTGAGAAGCACTTTACTTGCCCTTCCATTCTAAATGAAAGCTTTGCTGGATAGAGTAATCTGTGATATAGGTCCTTGTCTTTCATGACTTGGAATACTTCTTTCCAGCCCCTTCTTGCCTGTAAGGTCTCTTTTGAGAAATCAGCTGACAGTATGATGAGAACTCCTTTGTAGGTTACTGTCCCCTTATCTCTTGATGCTTCTAGGATTCTCTCCTTCATTTTTATCTTGGCTAATGTAATTATGATGTGCCTTGGTGTGTTTCTTCTTGGATCCAACTTTGGGACTCTGAGCTTCCTGCACTTCCTGCAAGTCTGTTTCCTTTGCCAGAATGGGGAAGTTCTCCTTTATTATTTGTTCAAATACGTTTTCAATCTGTTGCTCTACCTCTTCCCCTTCTGGTACCCCTATAATTCAGATGTTGGAACATTTGAAGATGTCCTGGAGGTTCCTAAGCTTCTCCTCATTTTTTTGAATTCTTATTTCTCCACTCTTTCCTGTTTGGTTGTTTCTTTCTTCTTTCTGGTCCACTCTATTGTTTTGAGTCCCAGTTTCCTTCCCATCACTATTGGTTCCCTATGCATTTTCCTTCATTTCTTTTATGGTAACCTGCATTTGTTCATCTAATTTGCGACTAAAATCAACCAATTCTGTGAGCTTCCTGATCACCAGTGTTTTGAACTATGCATCTGATAGGTTAGCTATCTCTTGGTCACTCAAAAGGATGAGTTCTGGGGCACTGATTTGTTCTTCTGTTTGAGCCATCTCTCTCTCCCTCTCTCTTTCTCTCTCTCTCTCTCTCTCTCTCTCTCTCTCTCTCTGTCTCTCTCTTTTTGGTCTGGTCACTCCTGTTATGGTGAGGGTGGAGTCTTAGGTGTTCACCAGGTCTGGGCACCCCAGTCACTAGATTGTGACGTTGTATGTGAGGGCCGGGTCAAGAAGGAACAATGGTGGTAGGTCCGTTCTTCATGGGACCTCAGTCCCTTGCCTGGGATC